AGGGTTTGCCTTTGTGCCCACCCCCCCATATCCCGACTGGGTGCTGCTGACGAGCCTCGCTGCTCTACAGCCGCCTTGCATCGCCGCCCGCCCGTTTTGGGAAAGGAGCCGTTCGCAATCCCGCTATCCTTCTCCGGTCTCGGGTGGCTGCGGAAGGTCTGTTGGGGGCTCCCTGCCCTCGTAGCCCAACCATCTCTCCAGGTTCCACTTCTTCCTTAAGCCAGGGTTTATCAGACTTGGCCGGCTGGGGGAATCCTGGGAGTTGAAGTTCACACTTCTTAAAGGTTCCCATCTCGGAGCTGTAAAAATTGGAAGAAAAGCAGCTTTTATCTCCCCAAGTTCTTATATACGTAGGTGGGTGGGTGTACGTGCACACACCTGAATTAATTGTGTTTTGTTCAATAGGTGTCTTAATTTGCGGGTGGCAGCTTGAGTGGAGGCCAAAGGTTGCCTCCTCTGTCCATTACCTCATTTATTTTTCCAAGCTGTTCTGCTGCAAAGGCAACGTCGGCCATTGGCTTAGATCAGCGTTTCTCAACCTCAACCCCTTTAAGAAGGGTGGACTAACCTGCTGGCTGGGGAATTCTGGGAGTTGAAGTCCACCCTTCTTAAAGTGGCCAAGTTTGGACAACACTGATCTATTGGAGGAAATACCCATTGGCAGTTAGCGTGGGGGCTAAATTGCCCCCTCCCCGTGTTCCTAATGAGGCAGAATGCTGCGGATAGAGAAGTTTGCCAAGCCCAACAGGGCTAGTCTCGTTTTTCGAAAGCGTCTAAGGGGAGGGCGTCTTCCCTGGCTGTCTCATGCAAGCAGAACATGCTGTCTGCCACTCCACTAGAGCCTTGTTGCAACTTACGTTTAAAGATAGACTGCACTGCGTGCGGGGGGCTTTCCTACCTCTCACTGCCACGGGTTAAGTCTTCCACCCCGTGCAATCATCTCTTCCCATTCGAAAGACTCAGCAAGCCGATGGTTGTTGCCTCGTCTCATGACCTTGAAGGGTGTCGGTTACAGCCTGTTTTGTAGGAAGCCTGTCCTGGGATCAGGAAGCCAGCGGGTTTGGGGGCACGTGGGCACGTTCTGGGGCACTCTCTTTGTAGATGCGGTTCTTCGACTCATGGGAAGGGCTCACCTGCGCGGCCTGCAAAAAGGATCGACTTTTCATCAGCCGGGAACGAGAATCACGTTGGGGAAAAATTGCACTGTTTGCATTCGCAGAATATCTAGAAGGGGGGAAAAAAATAGGCCGCGTGACCGACTGTTTCTGATTAAACTCTCCATCTGATGATTGTAAATGTATTTCTGGCTTGAGTCCTCTGCCTGAAAAGGGTAAACTGGCTATGATTCAAAATCCGTTTGGAGAAATGCCTTCTTGGAAGACTTTTGGTTCAGCTGATGAACAAGAGCAGAAGCCTTTGGCAACCTCGCCCCCCACCCCCAATTACATCCAGATCTCTTGCACTTCTCCTGTGTCAGAAATTGCTGTTTTCTAGAAATGGGTTTCATGAACTAAGTCTTCGTCCTGAAGAAGTCAGAACCGCATGACTTTGTCACATGTTTTTACTTAACTTTTTTTCTTCCCCATCATGATTTTTCCTTTTTAAGTTTTCTCAGCCTCCTGAGTCATCGTAGGAAAAACATCTCCGGATCCTGGGTCACCCTGAAAGCCAACAACAGCAGCATCCTTTTTATGTCTTTAAACTCCAGGTCATTCAAGACACGGAACAAGAGAGGAGTGCAAATTTGTTCCTTGCTTTTCCTGCAAAAGATTTAACGCGGCTGCTAGCATTTTGGAAATGTCGAAGAGCGGCTAAAGTCGTTCCAAATTCCTTCTGAGGTTGGAGAGGTTTCAATCCGCAGACCTGATCTTGTGTGTAAATGGGAATGAGGGCAAGACTTGCTCAGATTTGAAGGGAACAAAATGACTTTTTCATTGGAGTTACAGCTACCCGGAAGAAGCGCAGACCTTGCTGTGTAGAGCTGAAGGTCTTTTTAATCCACAAACCGGACCATCAACAGTGTCTCCCTCCTACCATCAGCTGGTAGTTAGAAGTCAAGAAGAACATTTATTTCCCAACCCATAGACCCCAAACCCTGATCAAGGCGGGTAGGACCAGCTGCCACGCAGCAAAACTCAGCAAACCCCACTGCCTTGTGTCCAAGCGCTGACGATGTTGCCTAGGTTGTTAACACAACATTTGCAAGAAGAAAAGGAAAGAGAACTGTAGAATCCTATCCTTGGCATCTGCGCTGAGGTTTGTAGGTTTATTTCAAGATCCTGTTGGGCAAATGAAAGCTGGGCCTAAGCAACTGAATCAGTTCTGCATTTTATTCTGCACCTGGCATCGCACACAGCCAGATCACGCTCTCCCCATCACATGAGTTCCTGAAGCAGCACAACAGAACAAACCAAAACCACGTTTCTTCTCAA